ATTTATATATATATATGGAGTTAATTTTTTTAATATTTTAACATGCATTTCATTGCATTTTACACACAAGTTCTCACGTTACGGAAAAGTTATATCATCTCCAACGATATTAAAAAAAAAAAAAAAAACAAGTATTCCATCCGTGAATTGCTTAGGATATAATTGCTTTCATTATGTCATATATATAATGCACCGCAGTATTTTACTTGACTTTTTTTTCCCGCAAACGTGTCCGTTTGCGTTTGAATGACTGCCATATATTTTAAGAAAGAACCACACTAACTTGGGACATAATATTATTATGAAACTAGCTTTTAACAAATTGTTAAATATATATATGCAGCGCCCTCTGAAGGGAAAATTGCATTGAAGAATTATAAAGAAAATGTGTAATAACTTAACAAAAAAAGAGAGAGTTTCCCCCTCCCCCCTCTCCCTCACCTCTTGTACGATCCCAAATATATCATTCATTTTTGCAGAATTGGAAGATTTTAACAAAAGTCGATATTTGAAAAAAAATTTACACTCGCGCGCAAATGGCACAGTTTGTATTAAGTGAGCGCTTATAAACGGTAAATTATTATACACCCGTATATAATATCACTTTCGCAAATCTTCTACATTTACATCGGTCTCACTTGATCCCAACTTGACATTTGGCGTGACTTTTCGCGGACTCTGTATTTCTCTTTTGTAAAATTTTTTGTTTAAAGAATTTTTTTCTTTTTTAATATTTATCACGTTCTTCAATTTTGTTATTCTAGAGTGTAAGTCTTCATCAATGTAAAATTCTTACGTAGAGAGAAACCTTTATTTTTTATTTTTTTTTAATATAAATGTATTTTGACATTTATTGTTGTTTTACGCGAGAGAATATATTACGATGTGGTTTGTTCGTTTTCTCAACTCAATGCGACTCGTCCGATCGATTCGGCATTAACGTTTTGTTTCTCAGTTCTAGTCGATGGTATAAGTATAGGAGGTAGTTTCTCATGTTGTGAAATAGCAACCGATGAAATGCTACGCGTGATATATAGTATATTAGTTTATGTATGTATATATGGCAATATATATATGTATACTACACATATACTATATATTATACTATACTATATATTGTGCAAGTATAGATCTATACTTACATCATCGCTCTAGTGACATGCGACATTTTTTAATTCTTCGATTCGACGTACAAAAAGATGGGATATTTATGTTTTTATAGAGCGATTGTGCGTTATCAGTTAAAAACGCAGCTTGAAATTATTCAGACGTTTGTATATATACATATACAACTACATACACACATAGACACACACACATACACATATATTGTCCGCGAGAGAATAATTCTAATCAAAAATATTCATATACTTGCTTAACATTTATATAATTTTATGCATGTGCATTTTTAGCGTAAAAAACATTGAGTATCAGAGTCGCATTGCTTAAAAAAACAAACACAACATTTGGTATGTCATAGAGCTATGTGTTTATATATAAATATATATATATATATAAATAAATATATATCTATATAAAAATATACAAAACGCGATAAAAAAGAAAACATATATTAAATTATAAGAAAATAAAAGAAGTTATTATATAATAGATAATATATATATATATATATATAATAATAATTGTCAAATTATTAAAAACATTGTGGCTCTTTTCGTTTTAAAACTAGCCTCGTGCTTCTTGTCTTCGAATAAAAGAGGTGTCGTCCGATTACCTTCTTGTATCTTCAAGAAAGAAGTATCAGGGCAGCTTTCACTAGATGTCATTGTTATAATGATTCTCTAAATCACACTATAACTAACGAATGCATCTGTAATTTAAACAGGGGCGCTTTAATACGAAAAGAACTTGAATGCGTATCATTGAATACTCGCTTGAATTATATTACAACTTTTTTTTTTTTTTGGTTACGTACATATCCTTCAGGCTGATGTTCGCGATTATATTAAAAAAAAAAACCAAAAATCAAAAAAAAAATAATAATAAAATAAACGCAGATGTGGCACACAATTACCTTTCTCCTCCAGTAAAAAAAGAAAAATACGTGTGTTTTCTTTGTATATCTGATACTCTACGCATTAATGTCATATAAAAATAATTCGCCTTATTGATTTTGTCTCTTCTTCACTTTGTAAAACGAAATATTCGAATATAATCTCACTTTCTTGTCATTGTCATTGTGTGACGCGCGAGGACACAACACAACGGTGTGTGCGCACTAATTTTACCTTTCGAACTTGATTAAGATCATGTGTAATTTTTTAATGTGCCTTTTTATAGCTTCATTGAGAAATAAAAAAAAACAAAAAACAAAAAAATGCGATACGTTGTCAAAAGCGTACTCGGTGCCAGGAATAAGACTGTAGCACTTCTCTCGACGTATTAAAAAAAAAAAAAAAGCAACTGACAGACACACTCGTCCGAAAAAAAAACAAATGAGCAAATATAAAACTGTCTCAAGATTCTATTCTCTCCTCTGATTCTCCCGCAATTCTTTCCGTTTAACGCGAACTAATTCGTTGGCGAAACAATGGATCACTAGAGAGCTGTAGAAGCGTTTGTAACATACGTGTGTATGTACAATTTGCATCGGGTCGTCGCGATGTGCGCGACAATGGTCGGCCGTCGCAAAAGCGCGAGTTCGCAAAATTAGTTCGCGCTAAATGTCAATGGGGAGGCAAAGGCACACACATGTGGCGAGCGCACGTTGGCACACGACAATGTTTGAGGATACATACGCGTACCTGGCACAGTTCTCAACAATTTTTATTCGCGCACTTTGGCGAAGAGCTTGAACAAACAACTTTCGCCGCAAAAAAAAACAGAAAAAAAAAAAAACAAATACGTCGGTAAAACAAGATAAATCTTTTTCGCCGGAGTTGTGAATAGAGCGTGACGTTTGGTGAACCATCAGCGCGAATGCGAAATGCGCGTCAAAAATACTTTTCACTAGAAAAAAAAAAAAAAAAAAAAAAAAGCAAGAAGCGACGACTGTGTAATCGACGTGTGACGTAATTAATTAACGCCCGCCCGCGTCGTTTTCCTGTTTGTGAACATAAATCATTCAATTGTCTCTCGATAAAAAGAAGGTAAGATAAAAGGCGTTAAAACATGTTCTTTTTTTGCAGTAAACGCACGTAAGGAGCTATTCTAGAATATTAAAAATAAACGGTCACGAAAGTTTCATTGCCAGCTCGGACGAAGCAGCTACGAGGATGTTGCGGACACACGCGCTGCGTGTTTTGTCTCGGTTGTGATTTTTGTTGCAATTGACTTACGAGCGCGCGTTTCGAGTTTTGTTGCGACGCCAATTACTATCGGATCAACAATTTAGAGCTAATTAAACAATTACGAACGTTTATTTTATACAGATGAAATGTTTATAGAAAATATTTCTAAACTAAATCAAGAAACAGAACTTTTTTTTTTTGAGAGACCACACGCGTTGGATGTACGTTTCAAATTGTTGTTCAATTTGAATTTTATACGTGTATTGATTTTTAATACACGTTAAAAATTTGTTTCGCGCGTACACATCCAACAGCGTTTGACTCTCAAAGATCTAATTCTTGATTTAGTTCGTACTCACTAGAGTCGCTTATTTATTCTATTTCTACCTACGTTATTTTGTGTGGATAAAATAAATATTAACATTGTTTGAATTTGCTTGCTTGTAAATTGATTGAAAATCGAAACGCGCGCCTTATCTCTCGCAGATTTCGAGCGGAAAATCTTTCCAAAAAAACAGAAGCGACTCGAACAAACAACACGCTTTTACGTCATTCTCGTCCCAATTAATCAATTAATCAATCAATCAATCAATTCGACAAGTTGTCGTGTATCAACGCGTGCGAATTAACGCAACGTGAAGCGAAAATTGGCGAGGTATTGTGTGTAATTTCACTCACACACTGTGTGTGAAATGTGTGTTGTACATTGCGCTCTTAAATAAATGATCGCTCGAAAAAGCGGCGCTGATTGAGAAAAATTTTCAACTTTTCCGCGCTGTGTTGTCCGTCAATCTTCAATCACGCTTCCCAGCGTGTGTTTTTTTATTCTCTTTGAAACGCGACGTTTTTTTGTTTTTCGAATTTTTTTTACGATCGGAGCAGTTTGTGTCGCATTCGCAAACGCGTTTTATCAAGGCGATTACGTACGTATTACGCGTAGCGATCTCCAAGGATGAATATACGGACGCGCTTGGTGACAGCGGTTGCTATTTAACCGCACAGGAAGTGAAACTCATTATCTAATATACTTTTATCGTTACATTTGTCGGCTCATCATTAAAAGTGTTACTTGCCGCTTAAACGATGATTTATTGACTTTTTTTTATTGGAAATTCTATGGAGCCTTTTGTTTTCTTTGTTCATCGGATCTGAGATGATGATGTTTGTTCGCCTTTGTATCCGGGGGGCCTCAACAGCCAGCAACAGTTTTTAAACTACTCCAACCACAGCCGGGACCACGTTGAGAATTTCGGGAGAGAAAGGTACGTGTGCGCTCTCTCTTCATAGTTTTCTCTCTATTATAACAAATAAAATATTTTAAAAAACTCACAATTTCAAATCACACGTGCGATAAGTATTTTTTTTCAATGTATTCTTGCGGCGCAAAATTGTTGACAAAATTGATCAAAACGTTGCGGAGATTACACGTTTGGGTCACTGCAGATGTCTCTTTGTTTTTTTTTTAAATGTCGAAAAAATAAAACACGCAATAAACGTTGCGCGAACAAATCAATAAGGTTACAAATATCGATCACCGATGTCGAGATTACTTCAAGATCACGTTACGAGATACAATTGCATTCGCCGTTGCGTCAAGTATGCGATTATAAAATCGACCATAATATTACATACGTATATATATATATATATATATATGATAATTATACGATATTTCATTTAAATAAAATCTCTTATCGAGCTGACCTTGATTAAAAAAAAACGCTTCATCCAGAGAACCATAATGCTCGATGTTTTATTTATTGATAAATTCGATGTTGCAAAATGACTTTTGCACCGGTTGTGCGTGACTCAATCTGATCTGTGATAACACGCGCAAGTAGGGCACAGAGAAGACAGATTTTTTCGCAGATCGTTAAGACAGATTTACAAATTTGAATTGCGATCAATGTGTTTTCATCAAACGCGTCGCGCGCGCGACGACGCGCGTCCAATGGGAAAGCGCGACTTTCCAAACGCTCTGGCCAATAAATCATTTCGTCTGTGGTAAACAAACCTTCCCATTGGGAGCGGCGCGCGCATGCGCCGTTTAAATCGGAGTATCTCCACCCGCAAAACGGGGGAGACGCACACTCCTCTCCCCGCGCGCGCTCTCGTATAAAGACACTCTTTCTGTCAAAAGGAAAGTCAGTGTAGGAAAGATGGCCGGCCGGTTGATTACGGCCAGCGCGGCCCTTTATCTCGCGTTGTATCTCCATCTGGTTCTGCCGACGGAGTGCGATTACGGCGTGCGTTACGGCGACAAAGCGAGGAGATTGCATCTAGCGGACGATATCGGGGATTCGCCGCGTCCAAGACCGTTGATCGTCGACCGACGGGATTACGATGAAACGTCGTCATCGTCGTCGTCGTCGTCGCGCGCGCGCCGAGAAGCGCCGACGAATCCATCCCCGTCTCCTACGGAGTTTCCAAACAACAACCCAAACATTACGACGAAGGTACGTACGGCGCGCGCGCGCGCGCGCGCTCGCTCGCTCGCTTTCTCTCTCTCCCGCGCGTCGCCAAATCCCATCGTTGTACGAGAAGAGGATTCCGAAGGTCGGACAAACGATGCGTCGCAATTTCGACCGTGACGTTTCTCGTCGTGGAGGCTTTTTAAAAAAAAAGCGACAACGAAACGCACATCGCGCGACGTCGCGCAATAGACACGTCGCAAAAACCGCATATATATATATATATATATATACATGTATGACACGTCGATACATATAATCTATCACACATATGTGTGTGCGTTTGCCGCATACACACGCACACTAATATATAACACATTCCCTCTCTCTCTCTCAGCTGGATGCTGTATATCGTCGTCTTGCGGAATTTTTCCCAATGGACCGTCCGAGAGAGCGCGCGCGGACAAGCGCGGTCTTTGTGCGCGCGGCGCGCAGCAGACATGTCCGAGCATAATTGCTCGTATTATCTCTCTTCCGGAGTAAATTTAATCAATCTCGGCGAAACGGAGCGGTCCCCGCTCCGTTATTGACACGCAAGGGGGGTCAACAACCCGCGTTATCTCCTCCCGTATCTTCTATATTTCTTTTCTTTGTTTATTTGTTTTTCCCCCCTTAGCTTTTCTCCCTTTTCTTTTTCTTCGACCGGGGGAGGGGGAGGAAGGGACAGGGTCACCCGCTGCGAGACTTCATTCGTGCGAGCGGATCGACGACGACGTTTCGTTTGTCAGTCCAAAGTGCGCGCCGCAATTTATTTTGCGACGAGTCGCGCGAAAAATCGTTTGTTACGGAAATATTCATCATTTTCACGCAAACACATAGTTATAGTTTGTAGTTACAGATATGGCTATGCGGTATTTCTTCTATATCTCCTTTTCTGTGCGTCATTGTGTCGCACACGCTTAGTCATACACGCATACTTGGAAGCACCCCACCTTATCTGAACAGATAACAACCGATTATCATCTTCTAAGGTTACGAGTATCCGATCCCTCCGGTTTCGCATTTATATTCTCTAGGAGATTTTTTTTTGCCTTTGAAACATTTTAAAGATCCGTTAATCTACCGCAATAATTGAGATTTGATATTAAATCCTTTGCGCACAAAAAACGGCCCTGGTTAGACCGGGTCTGCGAGACCCACGCGATTTTAAAATCGAATATCTCCGCGAAAAATCGATATATTTTTTTTTTTTCAAATTTGTTTTTCTCGAGAATCGCGAGAGTTCGAACGATTCCGCGTCGGGCGAAACACAAGAAATTTTTTATCTTCAAGTATTTTCAAAGATATAAGCGTTTAAAAAAAGAAAATTAATTTTTACCAGAAACACCGGTTGAAATCTTTGATTGGGTCTAGGAGACCCGGTGTCTCTACGCGAAGCACATCGTAAGCTTGCATAGGGTAAGTTCCACTTGCCGTTCGCAACGCTCATGGAATATCATTTTATCTTTGTTTTTCATCGAAAGTTTAAACAAAGATAGGTAACGTTGACGAACGTCGCGAACAGCAAGTGGAACTTACCCATAGAGATTAGTTCGCAGTGTGTGTGTGTATTTTCAGGATTACTTTGGAATGTATCATAATAGTATACGAAAAAAAAAAAAAAAACCGGATAGTGTACTTTCACTTCTAGCTTGTCAAAAAAAATTGACCTTTACCCGATTGTTCGGTGTCTTCTGCATATTTACGTTCTTTCTGCTTCATATAATCTGCTAATTAATGCTTTGGCGCGTAACGAAACGATACTTTGCGTTAATTTGGTTTTTCCAATCGATTTTTTTTTTGTGTTTTTTTTTAAACAGGAATTTTAGAATCGCTATTGTTTTGTTTTGACACTTAAGACACCGAAGCAACTCTGTATTAATTGCTAAATCAAGCTGCTTGTAATTTTCCATGAATCACGCATACGTAATGATTCATCTCCTGTTACATGACACGTTTGTCACTGGTTAATGGAATGTTGAAGAGTATGCGAAGAGTGTGTTTATCTTGCGAATAAATCTATAATTAGAGATATTGCAACCGGGCTTTTGTGTTTAACACTCTCTGGCAATCAATCAATAAGATTTGTTTTTTGTTTCGTGTTGAGATTATTATATACGTGTAGATTGTAGAGATAGATTGTAAAAATAAATTGTTTTCAATGCGTCGTGCGCGTATACGGAACTTGTCCAATAGGGAAAACGCGTACTTGTATATACATATATATGTGTGTATATAAATTATTTCTTATCTCTTATCTTTATTCTTACATGCTGTTCGCGTGTGACAGCACACATTTATTCTGTTATCTGTGAATTTGTATAATATTACAATACTTTCCTGCAATACATGATCCTTCTTGTCTACCAAGAGTAACAGTTTGTTTGTTTTTTTTTTTCTTGTCATTACAGGTCAATGCTTTAAACGACTCTCATCAGCAACTGATGGTACATTGGGTCGGAGAAGGCTCCAATGTAATAATATGTCTAGCGAGAGATAGCACGCCAGTGATGCGCTTTCAGACTAGCAGAGTTACCTCCGCGACCCATCCTAGCTCTGTGTACATAAGTTACGATTACGGTGATACATTTGAAAATAAGACTGAAATGTTTAAAGTCTCAGAAGAACCGAATGCTCAATATGCGGTTGTGGACAAGTTCACCAATCATCCAAAGTATTACGAACACGTGAGTGTTGAAATTTTACGATTACGCGACGTGACACACTGAACTATAATGTTTTGTTTTTTTTTATGTATGTTTTTTTTTTTTTTATGTGAAAAATAATCTTACGTTTGTTTTTAAATCTCAATAAAAAAATAATCTCTTGTTGGCTTTTTGTCAAACTCGACAGTGCGTTTTCGTGGACAGTACGAATAATTTAATCTTCATCACGTCCGACAATGGGAAGACAATTAAGAGGATCGCGGTGCCGTTTCATCCAAACGAAGTCTCGTTTTACGAATTGGATCCACGAGTACTCGTGGCGCTCGACAAAGTTGACATGTCGCGAAAGGTAAAAGGATATAAAAAACAAAAACACAATCATTTAGTTCTCTTGTGAGATCGAACTTAATTATTGTGAAGGTGTAAAATTGATGGTTTTTTTTATTTATTTTTTTCTACTTTAAAACAATGCTTTTTAGTTGTGGATATCAACCGATCACGGACAAATGTGGACGCCAATTCATCACTACGTGAAAGCCTTCTTTTGGTCCCCCTATCGCACCTTGTTTGTGGAGCGCATAGAGCCCACTGGTCACAACACGGTTTTGAAACTGGACATGCAAAATTTAGGATACATGTGGATGCAAAGATTGAGTAACCCGATGAGAATAAGAACGGCCATTCGAAAAGAATTCATCGTTGTTATTCAAAATGTTGAGGATTTTCAAATTAGGGGAGACTACATGTTTGCCACAATGAAAAATTCAAAGGTAAGATATCGCGCGATGATCGTATATTGTTGTGTCACTAAGAACTGTTTGTTCAGCCTGTTCTCAATGTTTGTTTCTATCGCGTTTCAAAACACAGAACGGATCGTCGGAACATCTGGATCTTTATGTTTCCTACAAAGGTCAGCCGTTCGTTTTGGCTTACTTTAACACAGAACTTGACTGCAAAGATTATCACATTGTGGACGTGTCGCACAATCGACTTTTCATCTCGGTGTCGCACAGCGAGACCACGGTCAATCTTTACGTGTCGGAACTTATAGACAACGAAAGAGCCATATTCACTTTGTCTCTGGACAACATCCTAACATTTTTCCCCAATAGCACCTGGAAGGACAGCTGGTTGAAGTAAGTTGACGATGTTATTTAACAAAGCTGAAAAGCTGCAAATCATCTCGTTAATTCAATTTGTTCTCTCTCTCTAATTGTTTCGTTTCCTATTTATAGTGACGTGGCTGACGAAGCGTTTACGGATCTGTACAAGGTAGAAGGTCTTAGAGGTATATACATAGCGTCGCAAGTGAAAACCATTCCGAAATCAAGCTCAATCGGACCGGAGCATTTGAGATCGTCAATCACCTTTGATCACGGTGTCACTTGGAACACCATTAAGGCCCCGGAGACGAGTGTGAGCGGCCATTACATTAACTGTGGAAAAGACTGCAACTTGCATCTAAGTCAGAGATTCAGTCAATTGTATCCGGTGACGAGATCCGTCACAATTATGAGCTCGAAATCAGCGCCCGGAATAATAATGGCAACCGGCGTGATCGGACACAGTCTGAAGGGTCATCCGGCATTGTTTGTGTCGAGAGACGCGGGTCTAACGTGGAAAGAGGTGCTGAAGGAATATTACTTTTTCAACATGGGCGATCACGGAGGTTTGCTGGTCGCGGTGAAATATTTCAAATCGCGCGGAGAGACCAGAAATATTTCGTATTCGACGGACGAGGGTGAGACGTGGCAGACTTACGTCTTCAACGAGAAGATGCTGCGTGTCTACGGTCTCATGACGGAACCAGGCGAGAACACCACGGTATTCACCATGTTCGGATCGGACAGCGGGATGCATCAGTGGCTTATAATCAAAGTGGATCTGCGAAACGTGTTCGAGAGAGAATGTACGGACGATGATTACAAATTCTGGTCCCCGTCGAGTCCCGATCAGCCGCAAATGTCATGTGTGTTGGGACGTAGAGAAACGTACAAGAGACGCGCGATGAACGTCAATTGTTATCAGGGCATTGATTACAATCGGCCGGTGAAATGGGAAAAGTGCTTGTGCGACGTGAACGATTACGAGTGCGCTTACGGTTTTGTGCGTTCCGACGGTCACTGTATTCGCAACAAGACGCTCATAGCCGAATACGATCCTTACGCCGTACCGGCCACATGCAAGTCCGGCAAGTTTTACAATCGCACGAAGGGTTACGTAAAGATAACCGACGACGAGTGTACGGACGGTTATGCGAGGAACTTCGAGCCGGACGAGATACCCTGCCCGTTGAGCGAAAAACGGGAATTCTTGTTGGTCGCTCAGCGAGAACATATAACGCGAATAGATCTGATGAACGGAATGACGGAAACGTTACCTGTGCACGATTTGAAGAATGTCATCGCTATCGAATTCGACATGAAGAACAACTGTTTGTACTGGGCGGATATTGTGAACGACACGATCGGCAGACAATGCTTCAAGGACGGTCTAAGTTATCCCGAGATTCTTGTCGAGACCGAGTTAAGTTCCATCGAGGGTATGGCCTTCGATTGGGTGTCCAACGTTCTATACTTCGTCGACGGTGTTAAGATGAGAATACAGATAATTCGAACGGATATGTCTCTTATGGGCAGAATGCGCAGAACGATTTTGGGACCGAACAATCTGCAGAAGCCGAGAGGCATCGCGGTACATCCTATGAACGGATACATGTTCTGGACCGATTGGGCGCCGGGCAACGCGTCGGTTTCTCGAGCCAATCTGGACGGCACGGAAGTTAAACGATTGTTCACCAAACCTACTGTCGAGTGGCCGAACGGAATAACGATCGATCATATCGCCGAACGCATCTACTGGGTGGACGCCAGAGCGGATTACATCGCCTCCTCGGATTTCGACGGCAAGAAATTCAAGAAGATCATCGCCAACGACAATCGCGTGTCGCATCCGTTCGCGGTCGCCGTGTTCAAGGATAACATGTACTGGGACGATTGGAAGCAGTCGATGATATTCGTCGCCAACAAGGATCACGGTATCGGGATCAGCACGGTAGTCGGTTTCCAAATTGCCGGTTTGATGGACCTGAAGGTCTTCGCGCACAGCGTTCAGATCGGCACGAACGATTGCGCGACCAACAACACGTGCTCTCACATCTGCTTGGGCGCGCCGAACAAAAGCCACGTGTGTCTCTGCCCGGACGGCATGGAGATGATGGACAACAAATGTCTATGTCCGGGTGGTAGGAAACCGTTTGCCAATTCCACGTGTCCGACCGTAGCCAAAACCTGTTCGGCCAATCAGTTTGCTTGCAGCAACGGCGTGTGCATACCCGAGTTCTGGAAGTGCGACGGCGACAACGATTGCGGCGACAATTCGGACGAGGTAAATTGCAACCGTTCGACCTGCAGCCCCAACAACTTCGAGTGCGACGGCAACAAGTGCATACCGAAGTACTGGGTGTGCGACATGGATCGCGATTGTAAGGACAACAAGGACGAGATGAATTGCACGTACGTCAAATGCACGGATACGCAGTTTCAGTGCGACAACGGCCGTTGCATCTCGCATCGCTGGCACTGCGACGGCGAGGACGACTGTCGCGACGGTTCGGACGAGCGACAGTGCACGAACAAGGCCGTTCAGCCGAGCAGATTTTCGTGTCGACCCGAAGAATTCAGTTGCAAGGAAAATCTATGCATACCGCCCGCGTGGAAGTGCGACGGCGAGTCGGACTGCGCCGACAACGCGGACGAAAAGAATTGTACGAATATGGTGTGCGAGCCGTGGCAGTTCACGTGTCACAGCACCAAAGAAAATGGAAATCGATGCATCTACAAGTCGTGGGCCTGCGACGGCGACAGAGACTGTCCCGACGGTTCCGACGAGCTAAACTGCACCACCCGAACCACCGTTTTACCACCGCCTTTGGCAACTATCGTACCTTCGAACAACACGTGCAACGATTGGATGTTTATGTGCAATAATAAAAAATGCGTGCCCTATTGGTGGAAATGCGACAGCGTGGACGACTGCGGCGACAATTCCGACGAGTTTGGCTGCGGCACCGCTGATATAGACTCCACGTCTCCGATAACGTATCAGACGACGGAACAGCCGCGCAACTGTCGCGAGCACCAGTTCCAATGCTACAACGGCGATTGTATCGAGAACGCGTGGGTGTGCGACGGTTCGAAGGATTGTTTGGTCGGCGAAGACGAGCTTCACTGCGAGCACAGACACTTGTCGTGCCGCGAAGAAAATCAGTTCATGTGCCGTCAAGATGGCTCGTGCGTATCGTTGTCGAGCATCTGCAACGGTAGCGAGGAATGTCCGGATGGTAGCGACGAACTTGGTTGTCAAGATCACGATGTGAGCCCGGTCGCAACTCCGTCGTGCTACGCGGGTCTCTTCCCGTGTGACGGGACGCGTTGCTTCCCGCTTGCGTCTTACTGCGACGGCAATCAAGACTGTTTCGACGGTTTTGACGAGAACAACTGCGAGAAGAACAAAACACGTGTCTACCAGGTATTGGTGATGGGTGTGGACGAGCGTTCCATCAACGATACCAGTCTCTTTCTCTTCTGGTGGATGCCAATACCGTTGAACGTGACGTTTGAGTTTCTGCCGTCGATCGCGCGGGCAATACCGAACGCCAAGTGGCACAACGCCACCGAGTGGATCGAAGAAACTGAGTATCAATTCAACAATCTCGAACCGTACACGAAATATAACATGACGGTTTACGTGAGGCTGAAGGGTAACGAGAACACCACGTATCCGCCGGCAAAGTACTTGGTCGCGATGACTAACGAGGGTGTGCCATCCGAACCGGTGGAACTGAAAGTTACACAGAAGAACGGCACTCAAGTGGAGGTTACATGGAAACCGCCGTTACATCCGAACGGTGTTATCGTAAGCTACGAGGGTTACGTCTCGCCGCCTATACCGCCGCTGGAATTTATTCGGCCAACGACCGTGGCGGTTATCGACATGGCCTTCGAGGCGGGCAAGAGTTACAACTTCTGGATCATAGCGAAGAATCGACAACACCAGTCGGTCTCGTCGAAAGTCGTTACCTTCGTATTCGACGGTTCAGCTAACATCGATGATATCGAAGATCTCGAAGTGATGGAAAGTACCAATCACTCCGTAACTCTGAGATGGAAGAAGATGAAGGACGTGGACGGATATCACATCACACCCAAGGCGATCCATTTGCCGGGAGGATCATCCTATCCGCTTCTTAAAACCTTCATTACCAATGACACCCAAAAGGAAATAACAAACTTGGCGCCAGGCGTTACCTACACTTTCGAGGTGGGCGCGATGAAGAAGACTTACGTCGGCAAAGTAACTACAATAATAGCTTCGACGACCGGCGTGCCGCTACCGACGATAACCCAGTTCGACGCGCAACTGGTAAAGTCTCAGAGAACCACCGTGAAGCTCACGTGGGACCCGCCGAAGAGTAACAGAAAGATAAAGTGGCAGTACGCTATTTATTACGCTACCAACTTAGTAGACTTCTTCAAAGGTGAGATGAGATAGATAGCAGCGCGTTCGCTCGTTTCTCTGTATCACGTTGCTTTGATATCTTAAAAATTATACTGACATTGTTGGAGAGTTTTATTGTTACTAAACAAGTCTTTTTTTTTTTGTTTTTTGTTCGTGCAGATCACAGGATTCTTACTACCAATCACACGGCTACGATCAAGGACTTGGAGGCGTGCGAGTCTTATCTCTTCTCCATTGGCGTTTACGGTGATTACGGAGCCGGACCTTTGCATGCACCGATCGCGGTCACGACGCAGTACAACAAACGCGCGCCTCCGAAGAGATTGAGAGTGACACCGTTGCGAGACAGAAATGACAGTATAATTGTCTCGTGGAGCGCGAGTTGTCCAATAATCGACGAGGCCATCAGTTACACGGTCGGTGAAAAATTTTGTTTCGAGAAAATAATTTGCGTTGAGAATTACAAGTTTTTTTTCTTTTTTTTTTAATTATCGAGGAAACATTCCTTGTCCAAGATGTGTTTTTTTTTTTTTGCGAGAACATTTAGCGATCCCGCGCGTTGCGGTTTTGTTTGCAGATCACCGTTGAGGAAATGATTTCCCACAAGCTGACGGTTGTGACGTTAAAGGCGACCAATGAGACAGTTATGAAGCACACGTTTCACTCGATCAAGTACGGCGGAAAGTACAACATTACGGTAGCTACCGATGTCAACAATGCCATACCCAGTCAGCCGTTTATCTTCACGGCGCCACCCATCAAACCACCCCATCAGCTCACCGTTGTGCACGATAACACGGAATGTTTGATTTATTGGCAAGAACCGGATTTGCCGGAGAGCATCCGGACCAATGCCAGTTGGCGTTACGAAATTCTGGTAATCGAGGGTTCCAAAATGAACGAGTCGCTCGCCAAAATAATAACTACCAAAGATCCGCCGCCTTATCACTACAAGGACGCGAAGATGGACAAGATTTATACTTTTGCCGCGCGTCTGGTCACAGACGAAGGATACCAAAGCCCATTGAGCGAACCATGGAGCGCGCGAATATCAGGCAAGTCTTCTTTTGAAAGAAAAAGACACGCTGTCCGTTTCCTAAAATCCTAGGATAACATTCTGTGAAACACATACACGTTCTAAAGAAAACAAAAACTTTTATGTCATCTCTTTTTTATTTTGACAGAATTGCAACTCCCGGTTATGATAAACACGTCGAACATACTGTCCATTGCTATACCAATATGTTTGATCGTCGTGGCGCTTGGCGTAGTGCTGGCGTATTTCGTCGTTCGACACAGGAGACTCTCGAACAGCTTTACCCAATTCGCCAATAGTCACTACGATACGAGACGGGGACAAGCGACTTTCCCAGGCACGACCGACGGTTTGGGTGAGCAATTTATTTTTAAACAATTGGAAACAAAGAAGATATACGAAAATTCAGAAAAAGACGATATATATATATATATACTTTCTCTTTTGTTTTACAGAAGAAGAAGACAGCCCTGTGATCCGAGGCTTCTCGGACGACGAGCCGCTGGTAATCGCATGAACGTCATATAAACAATTACAAAGAAAATTATTTACATGCTAGGAAAAAAAGAAATGTGCCAAGACGCTACTAAATAATATGAGTAATTTTGAATATAGACAAAAAGCTTTATGACAAGGAAGGAAAAGCTTTTGTGTGAGAGTATCTCAGCACGGGGTGCTTACACAACAGTTTTTCGTGCATATTCATACGATACACGTTGTAGAAATACGAATATACATGTACATCGTGAACGATGAAGAAATGACCTGCCGTGTGGTCGGGATGTGAGAGAGAGAGAGAGAGAGGCATCGTAAAATTCTTCAAAATATGTACAAAATTGATTTAAGCAGCTACAATTCGGCCAGTGTTATCGTTTGCGAGAGAACATAGATGCCAGTCGGGGGGAAAAAAAAAAATGACAATTTGTACATATAGTAAATATTTTTTATGGATTGTCAAGAAACATACTTTCGAGATGTCACACATTTTATCGATGCATTTTTTATATTGTGTATTTATATAACTCGTATGCGCGCGCGAAGCGGGAAAAGGCGAAAACAACTTTTTTTTTTCTTTTTTTTTTTTTTTGTATCAAGATTCGATGCGAAAGCAAGTAGTTTACGCGAGCAAAATTTGGCGAGACAAACTTTTCATTTAAAAAGTTGTTTCAATAAACACAAACACACAGCAGATGCCATAAAAAAGTTTCTTTTTCGTATACAGCAGCTTTCCAACCAAAGTAACGCTTTCTTCTTAATGCCGCGTTTTGAAGATTATTATCGGTTGATTGACAAAATACGGTATAGAGGTTGCAATTTAACATCCGAAAGAGCCTCGCAGACAATTTGTTTTCTTTCTCACGCATTAATAATCGTCGATATAATTGATTGTCGCGTGTCTGCGATATCAAATATGTTGGATTACAATTTGATCCGAATAAAATTTTTTGCGACATTTTGTCGCGAAATGTTTTGAAATTTGATGCTGCATTGTGAAGGAAGTGTGGACGTATAAGGGGAAAAATAAAAAACGGGTTTTCTGCGAAAGAGAGAATGACCGCATCTTCGCGTGGAACATGCTGCAATTGCTACGAAGAGACACACTGACTATTTTCTAATATAAATTACAATGCATATAGTTTATATAATAAGCATATAAATCGAGCGTGAAAGAAAGAAAAATAAGAATATACGATTTAAGTGTGTTAATGCTAGGTGTATGAATTTTTTGTTTTTACGTTTATAGAGGTACTAATAGGATATTTTTGACGGATACTTGTGCGCATAAGCGAAACGTAAGAGATTGCATTTTTTTTATAAATATTTCGCAAGTTTACAGAGATGATGTTTAGATTTTGGCCGCAATTTTGCATTGTTTTTTAAAAAAAAACTGTATATTATTTATTTGAATCAAAAAACGGGACGTTAAATAGAGAGAAAGCGACTATAAGAGATGCTTTCTTCGATAATACGTTTTTTTTTCACAACACGTAAATAAGATGGCAGCAACAACCGTGAGTAGTTAAATGTTAATAACGTTGTGAGAAGCGCGTGTGACATTTCACCGCTTGATTCGACGCCGCAGCAGTTTTGTACAAAACAAAACAAAACCAAAAAAAAAAAAAAACGCAATTAAAAATTAAAATTCTATGAGATGTTGCAATTCACAGAGATTAGGCTTAAATTCTGTGCGCACGAACGGTTTTCTCGCCACGGCGAGAAACAAAAAAAAAAAAAACCGACAAGTCCAGAGAGCACCTTTGCTGTATATGAAGCTACGCGATGCAAGAAATTTATTTTATCACGGAATTCACTCAATGAGGGTCTATAGACGTAAGATTATAATTGTATTCTTCGTTATTCGTCGTTGTACTTGTCAAACACGAAAAGGTATGTAATATGTACGAGTTCCTAAAAGACAAAAAGAAAAAAAAAAAAAAGAAAAAGAAAAAGTCAAGAAAAAAATACGTTCGAGCCGAGTTTGATCCGATTTAGTGGAATAATCGATATTATATATCATTGTGTCTAGAAAGTGTTTCGTCGAGTAAGTTTAGAGGCGAATAGAAAAGAGAATCTGCCGGAAAGCGACGACAACTTTGTGAAAAGTCGACGTTCCATTGTTCTGTGCCATTGTATAAAGAATTAGCAAGATGTTTTATTATCATTTTATTATCATTTTTTTTTGTTTTTTTTTTTTGTATCAAACTTAAGAAACGGGAATTCAACGTGTAAGATTATTTTTTTGGCAAAATAATTGTTTTAGCAGCACTTGTAAAATAGGCAAAGATATGCGAACACATATGTATAATGTATATGAAAACGATGGTAAAAGTCGACGGAAAAACAATAATGAAACAGTATTATGTGGCAGTTTGGATAGTTTTTTTTTTTTTTTTTTTGTCGCGTTGTCGCCAGAAGATTCGTCGAATTTCGCGAACGAACCTGATTGAAATTTGACCGCGGTTGAATATTATTATGCTCGGCCCATTTGATAAATTTTAATTGTTTCTGTGAACGTTTTTTTTTTTTTTTTTTTTTTTTATGTTCTCACGCGTAAAAGAGAAGAAAAATTTATTGCGCGCGAATGTGAATTTTGTTTCTTTATCTTATATATATATATGTATATCTTTAAATCTGCACGAATTTTTTAGAAGGCAATAGCAGATTTTACATTTAAATCTCAAGGATTATATCGCTATGCACGTGCATGTATAGCGACAAAAAGACAGAAAGAAGTGATATATAATATATATACATATATAATATATATATATATATTTACGTGTAAATATATAAATAAAATTGAAGCAAGAAATACAATGCGTTTACGTGTGTGTGTGGTGTGTGTGTGTGCGTTTTTTTGTTTCATTTCTCCATAAAGGTTTTTTTTTTTACAAGAGAGGATCGTCTTGTCAACCTCATAACACCCATAGCGGATGTTCCAGAGCGGTCGTGAAAAAGTGGAACGGCAAAAAATAATTGTTTCACGACAAGCCCCTTTCGCAAAGGGGAGGCGACGGATTTCCGTTCTAAGAGGCAATTTGGGAGTCTGTGACCCGTTACTTCATTAAGCCAACGGTATAGCACCAAGAAATCAGCATCCTTTTAACGCAAATGTGCTCAAATTCCACGGCATTTTTTTTTTTTCGTATCTTCCACATCTTTCGCAAATTAACAAACAAAACGATTTCGAAAGTGTTTTTGACGATTTTTCTAAATTCTATATTATTAAAAATATAGTGCAAAAGTCTACACAAATTAAAGTTTGAAAACGTGTTTTTTGTTTGAAGATTTTTCTATAATTTAGTTGCTTCGCAAGTTGCACAGATAATACAATCTGTTGCAAGAATGTTGCCTGTCTCTCTGAGGCTCATTGTGTGCCAAGTCAAGTGCTAAAGCAATCGCACAAAATAATTCATGCTTCACATGTATGTGACTGTGTGCGATACACCGCAACAGTCTCTTTTCCTCGGGTTTTTAATTTGTCTTTTCTTCGTGCAACTGTATTTTATTTTTATTATCATCTTCCGTCATTCAATCTGGCTTTTCGGTATGTAATTTCATACACATTGTGTTTTATCATCGACCACCACTGACCCGGACTATTCCGAGAACTCAACAGGTGTACAAGTGCGCGCCTCCGTTGCAAACTATATAATAATACCCTGAGTCTCTGAGGTGATAAATGTGTATGCAATTACATGTTGAAGCGATTATTGACATCAATAATGTTTTTGCGGAAATTAAAACTGGTATTTATTATAAAAACTACTGGTATTTATTTAATACAATATATATTTACTGGTATATATATACTGATATATATTTACTGGTATTTATTTAATACAATATATATTTTGTTTAGACGCGTGTTAATATCCGCAAAAAAAATAGAGAAAAATATATAATATTTAAAAAATAAAAATATATAATATATAATATATAATAAAAAATATATAATATATAATAATATATAATATTTTTCTTTGATAAATAAATTTTTTCTTTTATTATAACATCTCAAAGTGATTAATTAAGAATTTTCTAATTATCGTTGGTACTAGAGGAAAAAAACATTTGCGCAATAATCTTCCTCGAAAGATAAATTCAACAGATAGAAAAAAATAATGTTCTTTGAGAGATAAAGTCTCTTTTTTTTATTACAGTATGTATATCTCAAATAATTAGGAGAGAGTTACTCTAATTGTTGCTAAAGAAGAAGAAAAAACATTTGTGTTCTCTCGAGTAACGCAATTTTTTTTAAAAAAGAAGAAGACTTGACGGTTTCTCGTGAGACTTGTCGGAATTTTATGCGACGTACGTTTCATTTTTGACAGATATATTGGTTGTATATCTCCCGCCGTGTTTCTTTATGCTAAACTATTCGGCGCGTTACGACGCGTAAACTCGGGAGGAAGGGCAACCACGCGCGTATGTACCGTAATCATAATTGTTACTTTAATTACATGCGGCTGCGTGCGCGTACGCGCTTCTTATAATCTCGCTTCCAGATCGTTTAGAAATTTAAAAGCTTAAATCGCTCCGCGGCACGAAGCGCAACGTGCGTTGACGTGCGTTACTCCGATCTTTTTTTTTTTTTTTTTTTTCTCAGCGGCGTTCCGATAAACGTGTCATCATCGATTATATCAAATTGACGGTAAACGAGAGAACGGTGTAATGATGAAATCATCGGCGAGCAGAACAATGTGTAATTATCCTGACAATATCTGACGGATAATCACTCAATCATTTGACATCTATTTTGTTTTCATATTATAATATAAATATTAAGTTTTATAATAATATAAAATATTAAAACTTAATATATAAAAAACACACTACATTGCAAATATAACAATATTATAAATATTAAGTTTTTGATGTCACTGCGTAATTAAAAGAAACGATTAATTAATTAATCGTTCACTTAGTGATTTGCTTCGTATTTGGAGAGGCCGCGGTTGCATTTTGTTTCGGACAACTTATCGCTCGGTGAGAAACGAGCAAGCTTCGTTTTTCAACACGACTTTAAGCCAATATCTGAGTCAATGATATTGATTAAAAGAGAAACTAGTAATTGTATAGTATTGCGGTTTTCGTCTCGCCGCGGGAATCTCTCTGTAATTGACAACGACGATTCGTCGTTCAATCGAGTCCCAGGCGTTTTGAGACGTCGCGTGACGAAATCAAGATGTGTGATATAACGCCTCACGCAAGAAAATTACTGAAATTACATCGCACACACATCGCGATCTATTAAGATGCTTAACGTTGATAAACTACTGTTATTCAGATCTCTGGAAAAAAAAAAAAACAAAATGAGGCCCTTGACTCTCTTTGACGGTCTCTACGCGCGCGCGCGCGAAGAGATGATCGAACCGACCTCTTGGCGCGAAATTATGGGAGGCTATAAACGTCACAAGAGGAGAAAGAGGCACAATGGCTCCGAAAACAAAAAGAAAAAAAGAAAAAAAAAACGAGAACACTCGGAACTCGAGTAACAAACAATGTCGGACATTAATTGCGCATATCTCTCTTCGCGGAATTAGCATATTACACTGATTGGATTAGCATGTTACGTGCGCGAGGAACGCTCGTCATTGGCCTGGCTCACCCTCGAGCGACGGTGTCGCAGAAAAACGCGAGCGTTTGAAAACCTAAAGAACATTTCCGCGACAGATAATGCGGAGATCGAGGTCGCCGTCCCAGAAAATGTCGAATGTGTTAGCACCGCTTTAGTGCTTGTGCGTGAGAACGCGGCCCTTTTTCGGATGAATTCTTTTCGCCTGATGATTTCTCTGTGATGACATCTAAGCGCGAAGGCGGATTCTCTCTCACGCTGTAAATGAAAAAACATGTATTTCGCACGACGTCGTTCTGGAACAAAACGAGAATGACGACGACTAAATAAGCGACGATTTGAAGCGTCGAGCATTGAACGCGACGTATTCGTCAAAATTACACGTTCGATCTCTCAAGCTCGCGACAATCCGAAAGCTATATATACACTGTACGGTGTTCTTTGCGAGGATCTAGAAGTTGAAAAAAAAATGTATCACAACCATCAAGTATCAAGGTCGATACGAGCCGCGGTACGTATGGATGCAATATTATATATTTGTTTATTTATTTACTTCTTGTGTAAACGTAAGATAATGCACGTGGAAATTTGAATTAAATTTAATTAAAAAAAAAAAAAAGAAAAAGAATCTAAGTTACTCTTTTGAGGCAAATGTTCCAATGACCGGAATGTTCCAATGGCCGAACACGTTTATTAAAAGCAATATTAAACATGTAAATTGTAATAATTCTCAATGTTTTCGGATTTTTTTTTCGGATTTTAAGGCATATGTTCCAATGACCGAACACGTTCCACTGGTCAGATTTTATTAAACAAATAATTGTTATAGATACGTAATATACATATATATTAATTATAACAATTCTACATTTTTAAGTACGTTTGGGGATATATTTTTAATCATCAATTTTCTAATTTTACACACATACGTGTAAATATTTTGTTACAATTATTTTTTATAACTAAATGTCCGACCACTGGGACATTTTTCTTAACGTGCGAATTTGCAAAGTTTTGCATCTTTGTGCGAATATAAACCTTGTTCCGATTAAAGAAGAAAAGAGCACGGTAGATTCTTAGAAAAGATAGTATCGCAAAGTATCGTCGCAGAAAAATTAAAAAAAAAAAATAAATTTAATTAAATTTCGCGAGCTGTCCAACAAATTCTAGCCGCGCGGTCAGGGGGGTTAATGAAAAACGGTGTCACACAGTGGTGATCCGACCGGCCGAGACACGGTTTCGCACTTGGGTCAGAAAACCAAAGCGTAGCCGATCGAAGATCGTGAGAACGAGAGGAATACGCGAGGGTAGGGAGAAACATGTACTCCCGGGTGTAGGTACGGCGAGGATCACACAATGCTCCGCGTGGAGC